TCCAGGTAGCCATGATTAGCTGTTCAGGAGTCTTATGGCTTGGGGGTAGAAGCTGTTGAGAAGCCTTTTGGACTTAGACTTGGCACTCCAGTACCGCTTGCTGTGCGGTAGCAGAGAGAACAGTCTATGACTAGTGTGGCTGGAGTCTTTGACAATTTTGAGGGCCTTCCTCTGACACCGCCTGGTATAGAGGTCCTGGATGGCAGGAAGCTTGGCCCCAGTGATGTACTGGGCCGTACGCACTAGTTGCCATACCAGGCGGTGATGCAACCAGTCAGGATGCTCTCAATGGTGCAGCTGTATAACTTTTTGAGGATCTGAGGACCCATGCCAAATCTTTTCAGTCTCTTGAGGGGGAATAGGCTTTGTCGTGCCCTCTTCACGACTGTCTTGGTGTGTTTGGACCATGATAGTTCGTTGGTGATGTGGACACCAAGGAACTTGAAGCTCTCAACCTGTTCCACTACAGCCCCGTCGATGAGAATGGGGGCATGCTCAGTCCTCTTTTTTCCCCTGTAGTCCACAATCATCTCCTTTGTCTTTGTCACGTTGAGGGAGAGGTTGTTATCCTGGCACCACACGGCCAGGTCTCTGACCTCCTCCCTATAGGCTGTCTCATCGTTGTCGGTGATCAGGCCTACCACTGTTGTGTTGTCTGCAAACTTAATGATGGTGTTGGAGTCGTGCCTGGCCATGCAGTCATTGGTGAACAGGGAGTACAGGAGGGGACTGAGCACGCACCCCTGAGGGGCCCACGTGTTGAGGATCAGCGTGGCAGATGTGTTGTTACCTACCCTTACCACCTGGGGGCGGCCCGTCAGGAAGTCCAGGATCCAGTTGCAGAGGGAGGTGTTTAGTCCCAGGATCCTTAGCTTAGTGATGAGCTTTGAGGGCACTGTGGTGTTGAACGCTGAGCTGTAGTCAATGAATAGCATTCTCACGGGTTGGGGTGGTATGCAAATTCAGTGGGTCTAGGGTTTCTGGGATAATGGTGTTGATGTGAGCCATGACCAGCCTTTCAAAGCACTTCATGGCTACATACGTCAGTGCTACGGGTCGGTAGTCATTTAGGCAGGTTATCTTAGTGTCCTTGGGCACGGGGACTATGGTGGTCTGTTTGAAACAGGTTTGTATTACAGATTCATGTTGAAAATGTCAGTGAAGACACTTGCCAGTTGGTCAACACATGCTCGGAGTACACGTCCTAGTAATCCGTCTGGCCCTGCGGCCTTGTGAATGTTGACCTGCTTAAAAGTCTTACTCACATCGGCTACGGAGAGCGCGATCACATAGTCATCCTGAACAGCTGGTGCTCTCATGCATGCTTCAGTGTTGCTTGCCTCGAAGCGAGCATAGAAGTGGTTTAGCTCGTCTGGTAGGCTTGTGTCACTGGGCAGCTTACGGCTGTGCTTCCCTTTGTAGTCTGTAATAGTTTTTAAGCCCTGCCACATCTGACGAGCGTCAGAGACGGTATAGTACGATTCAATCTTAGTCCTGTATTGACTGTTTGCCTGTTTGATGGTTCTTCGGAGGGCATAGCGGGATTTCTTATAAGCGTCCGGGTTAGAGTCCCGCTCCTCCTTTAGCTCAGTGCGGATGTTGCCTGTAATCCATGGCTTCTAGTTGGGGTATGTACATACGGTCACTGTGGGGACGACGTCATCGATGCACTTATTGATGAAGCCAGTGACTGATGTGGTGTACTCCTCAATGCTATCTGAAGAATCCCGGAACATGTTCCAGTCTGTGCTAGCAAAACAGTCCTGTAGCTTAGTATCTGCGTCATCTGACCACTTTTTTATTAACCGAGTCACTGGTGCTTCCTGCTTTAGTTTTTGCTTATAAGCAGGAATCAGGAGGATAGCGTTATGGTCAGATTTGCCAAATGGAGGGCGAGGGAGAGCTTTGTATGCGTCTCTGTGTGTGGAGTAAAGGTGGTCTAGAGTTTTTTTTCCTCTGGTTGCACATTTAACATGCTGGTAGAAATTAGGTATAACGGATTTAAGTTTCCCTGCATTAAAGTCCCCGGCCACTAGGAGCGCTGCTCTGGATGAGCATTTTCCTGTTTACTTATGGCCTTATACAGCTCGTTGAGTGCAATCTTAATGCCAGCATTGGTTTGTGGTGGTAAATAGACAGCTATTAAAAATATAGATGAAAACTCTCTTGGTAAATAGTGTGGTCTACAGCTTATCATAAGATACTCTACCTCAGGCGAGCAAAACCTCGAGACTTCCTTAGTATTTGATTTTGTGCACCAGCTGTTGTTTACAAATATACACAGACCGCCACCCCTTGTCTTACCGGAGTCAGCCGTTCTATCCTGCCGATGTAGCGTATAGCCCGCTAGCTGTAGGTTGTCCATGTCGTCGTTCAGCCACGACTCGGTGAAACATAAGATATTACAGTTTTTAATGTCCCGTTGGTAGGATAACCGTAATCGTAGGTCATCTAATTTATTTTCAAATGATTGAACATTGGCTAATAGGATTGATGGAAGAGGCAGTTTACTCGCTCGCCGTCGGATCCTTACAAGGCACCCCGACCTACGTCCACGATATCTCCGTCTCTTTCTCCTGCGAATGACGGGGATTTGGACCATGTCGGGTGTCTGTAGGATATCCTTGGCGTCCGACTCGTTGAAGAAAAAATCTTTGTCCAATACGAGGTGAGTAATCGCTGTCCTGATATCCAGAAGCTCTTTTTGGTTATAAGAGACGATGGCAGAAACATTATGTACATAATAAATTACAAATAACGCGAAAAAACACACATAATAGTACAATTGGTTAGAGGGCTGTAAATCGGCAGCCATCTTCTCCGGCGCTTCAGTGGACAGAGGCAGAGCTGGATCAATTCCAGTGAATCACAGTCAGTGATGGTGATGGTGTCTGGACAAAGGCAGAGCTGGATCAATTCAAGTGAATCACAGTCAGTGATGGGGATGGTGTCTGGACAGAGCAGAGTTGGTTCTGTATTCCAGTGAATCACAGTCAGTGATGGTGATGGTGTCTGGACAGAGGCAGAGCTGGATCTGTATTCACTGGAAGATACGTGATTAGCAATTACAATAGTCACTGAGGATTGTTTTTGATTGGCTATCCAGCAAGTGATCAGTATAACACACACACACACACACACACAATTTCTTCACATTTCATTCAGTGAATGTATACCATTTATTTTAGAGCAGTATTCAACCCTCAGTGCAAAGGCATTTCCAACTTCCCTCCAGGATACTGGTGATGGAGAGGTACATAGAGCTGTGGATGAAATGGAGAGGTACATAGAGCTGTGGATGAAATGGAGAGGTACATAGAGCTGTGGATGAAATGGAGAGGTACATAGAGCTGTGGAGGAAATGGAGAGGTACATATAGCTGTGGATGAAATGGAGAGGTACATAGAGCTGTGGCTGAAATGGAGAGGTACATAGAGCTGTGGATGAAATGGAGAGGTACATAGAGCTGTGGATGAAATGGGGAGGTACATAGAGCTGTGGATGAAATGGAGAGGTACATAGAGCTGTGGAGGAAATGGAGAGGTACATATAGCTGTGGATGAAATGGAGAGGTACATAGAGCTGTGGATGAAATGGAGAGGTACATATAGCTGTGGCTGAAATGGAGAGGTACATAGAGCTGTGGATGAAATGGAGAGGTACATAGAGCTGTGGATGAAATGGAGAGGTACATAGAGCTGTGGATGAAATGGAGAGGTACATAGAGTTGTGGAGGAAATGGAGAGGTACATATAGCTGTGGATGAAATGGAGAGGTACATAGAGCCGTGGATGAAATGGAGAGGTACATAGAGCTGTGGATGAAATGGAGAGGTACATAGAGCTGTGGAGGAAATGGAGAGGTACATATAGCTGTGGATGAAATGGAGAGGTACATAGAGCTGTGGATGAAATGGAGAGGTACATAGAGCTGTGGATGAAATGGAGAGGTACATAGAGCCGTGGATGAAATGGAGAGGTACATAGAGCTGTGGCTGAAATGGAGAGGTACATATAGCTGTGGATGAAATGGAGAGGTACATAGAGCTGTGGATGAAATGGAGAGGTACATAGAGCCGTGGATGAAATTGAGAGGTACATAGAGCTGTGGATGAAATGGAGAGGTACATAGAGCTGTGGATGAAATGAAGAGGTACATAGAGCCGTGGATGAAATGGAGAGGTACATAGAGTTGTGGATGAAATGGAGAGGTACATAGAGCTGTGGATGAAATGGAGAGGTACATATAGTTGTGGAGGAAATGGAGAGGTACATATAGCTGTGGATGAAATGGAGAGGTACATAGAGCTGTGGCTGAAATGGAGAGGTACATAGAGCTGTGGATGAAATGGAGAGGTACATATAGCTGTTGATGAAATGGAGAGGTACATAGAGCTGTGGATGAAATGGAGAGGTACATATAGCTGTGGATGAAATGGAGAGGTACATCGAGCTGTGGCTGAAATGGAGAGCTACATAGAGCTGTGGATGAAATGGAGAGGTACATCGAGCTGTGGCTGAAATGGATAGGTACATAGAGCTGTGGATGAAATGGAGAGGTACATAGAGCTGTGGCTGAAATGGAGAGGTACATAGAGCTGTAGATGAAATGGAGAGGTACATCGAGCTGTGGCTGAAATGAAGAGGTACATAGAGCTGTGGATGAAATGGAGAGGTACATAGAGCTGTGGATGAAATGGAGAGGTACATAGAGCTGTGGATGAAATGGAGAGGTACATAGAGCTGTGGATGAAATGGAGAGGTACATAGAGCTGTGGCTAAAATAGTTTATGATTAATAAAGGGTTGATCTACAGCCTTGAAGACATTATAAAGGCATGCCTGGGACTCAGAGACTGACTGAGGCAGGGAATTGGTCCCAAATAGAACCCTATTCCCTATCCTATTCCTTACACAGTTCCCCATAGGGCTCTGGTCAAAAGTAGTGCACTACAATAGGGAATCTGGTTTGTTGACAGGGAATTTTCTCAGCTGCTGAGGAATGCTTGGTGAGGGACCAGTGCAGATGGTAGAGAGGGAATACTTTCTCCTGCTCTGAACGGGGCTCTCAAACTCAGACAATAAAGCCAAGCCTCCATTTTCAACAGAAACACTGTTGTTGTTTTTTATTTATTTATCACATTGTCTAAATAGCCACAATGCCAAGTCGTCGTAGTCAATGTATTTTATTACTGAAAAAATAGCTGATTTGTCTGAAATGCCTGCCTTATTGTTGAACATGAACCAACCAACTCCCTCCGTCCCACCACATGGGTTGGGGGGGGGTAGGGGGGGTTACACAGTACAGCAGCAGGTATTCATAACCATGTGTAGCAGAAACAAGGATGTGGCTTTTGAAATAGTACAGGTACCGTGAGTTCAGGAAGTATTCACATCCCTTGACTTATTCATGTTGATGTGTTACAGCCTGAATTTAAAATGGATTAAATTGAGATTTTGTGACACACAATAACATAATAAAGTATTAATAAATAATGTAAAAGTGGAATTCTGTATTTCTTTAGTTTCTTTAATGAAAAATGAAAAGCTGAAATATGTTGAGTCAATAAATATTCAACCCCTTTGCTATGGAAAGCCTAAATAAGTTCAGGAGTAAAAATGTGCTTAACGGCCTCCCGAGTGGCTCAGTGGTCTAAGGCACTGCATCGCAGTGCTAGAGGCGTCATTACAGACCCGGTTCTATCCCAGGCTGTGTTGCAGCCGGCCGTGACCGGGAGACCCATGAGGTGGGGCACAATTGGCCCAGCGTCGTCCGGGTTAGGGGAGGGTTTGGCCGGCCGGGATGTCCTTGTCCCATTGTGCTCTAGCGACTCCTTGTGGCGGGCTGGGCGCATGCAAACTGACTTTGTACATTGTTTTCTCTGACACATTGGTGTGGATGACTTCCGGGTTAAGCGGGCAGTGCGGCTTGGCAGGGTTGTGTTTCGGAGGACGCGTGGCTCTCGACCTTCACCTCTCCTGAGTCTGTACGGGGAGTTGCAGCGATGGGACAAGGCTGTACCTACCAATTGGGTTAAAAAGTAATAAAATAAATGTGCTTAATAAGTTGCACTCTGTGTGCAATAATAGTGTTTAACATGATTTTTGAATGAGTACCTTCTCTATGTACCCCACACATACAATTATCTGTAAGGTCCCTCAGTCGAGCTGTGATTTTCAAACAGATTCAACCACAAAGACCAGAGGTTTTCCAACGCCTCGCTAAGAAGGGCACCCATTGGTAGATTAGTAAAAATAATCACACATTGAATATCTCTTTGAGCATGATGAAGTTATTAATTACAGTTTGGATGATGTATCAAAACACCAAGTCACTACAAAGATACAGGCGTCCTTCCTAACTCAGTTGCCGGAGAGGAAGGAAACTGCTCAAGGATTTCACCATGATTTTAAAGAAGTTACAGAGTTTAATGGCTGTGATAGGAGAAAACTGAGGATGGATCAACAACATTGTAGTTACTCCACAATACTAACCTAAATGACAGTGAAAAGAAGGAAGCCTGTACAGAATAAATAAGCTTTCATCAAATAACAATCTTGATTTCTCTCTCCCCCCTCCTCCATCTCTCTATTACTCCTTCTCTCTCTCTCCCTCTTCCTGCATCCCTCTCCACCTCCTCTCTCCCTCCCTCCTTCCCTCCAGACCTGACACGTAGTGCCAGCCTATCAGAAAAGGAGTTGAAGGAGGCGAGGGTGAGGTCACAGATCATTGCGGCCCAGCTGACCGTCCCGTCTGGCTGCTCCAACTCCCGCGGCGTCCAGCTCTTCAACCGCCGCAAGAAGAGGGTCAACGCCTTCACGCTAGATAGCTGTGGGGAACGAAGGAGGGAAGAGGAGAGAGAGGAGAGAGAAGCGAGAGAAGGAGATAACAGGAACAACAACCTGACATGGGAGGAGGAGAAGAGGGGTCCTAGTGAGGGGACAGAGACAGACGGACAACTGAACTGGAAGAACAGCATCGGGATAAAACCACCACTCTGGTCGCCACCCTCTGGAAGTGAGGTCACAGGAAGTGACATCATGGAGGACCCAGGTAATGAGCACATCTACAAGGAAGTGGACGTGATACAAGAGAGACACTTCCAGCCGGTGAACGAGAGACAAGGGGAGGCGGAAGAGAGGAGTGGAGAGAGAGAAAGAGAGGAGATATATGAGGATATTGAGGGTGAAGTGAAGGATGAGATTATACGAGTAAATGACAACAACACTGGTCCAGTCAGAGAGGAAGTGGGGATGAATAGGGGGTCATACACATACCCCACAGCTCCCCCTGAGACCCATAATGGCTTCCACAGCACCCAGGGCTCTGCTGGAGAGATCAAAAATGGCGGGCCAGTTTCTATGTCCCTGTCCAGACAGACCCCCACCATCGTCAACCGGACAGCCAGACCCTTCTTCTCCCCACCCACCGTACAGCCCAAGTCCCCAGAGGCAAGGAGTCCCGTCATGGATAACAACATACTCCCAGCCCCCTCCTATCCTACCCCCACCCTTCCCCCAGCTCCCTCCTACTCCACTCCCCCTCTGCCTCCTTTCACCGCCACTCGCCCTGTCGCCTTCTCTCCTCCTCCCCCTCCTCCCTCATACTCTATGCCTCCACTCCCAGCCTTCCCCATCCATCCTCCTCCTCCCTCCCAGTCTCTCTCCAGTCCTCCCCCCATGTCTACCGTCATGTTTCCTAGGTCTACACCCGTCCCCCAGTACAACCCTCCTCCTACAGCTGCCCCAGTGCCCCAGTATCTACCCCCCAACCCTCCTGTCACCCGATACATCCCTCCTCCAACCTCCCCTAGACCCAACACCTTTGTCCCCTTCACCCCTCAGCCTATTGGCCAACAGAACCAGCAGCAGCCAATCAAAACGGGCATCCTGGAGGAAGGGGCGGCGGCCATCAGACGATCGTCGACAGCCAGGAAGTCCATGTTCACCTTTAAGGAGAAGCCTGTCATGGCACCCAACCCTGAACTCCTCTCCCTGGTCCAGGGGAATGATGATAGGAAGAAGCACGGCCTCCGCTCCGTTCCCGACCCAGCCCCAGAGGAGGAGCTGCTGGCTCTGGGGGCCGAGGCCTCTAACTTCCTAGCCAGGGAAGAGTTGAAGGCGGAGGCTGCCAAGGTGCCGGAGTGGTCCTCCTGTCTCAAGAGCTCCAGGACCAGGGAGCCCAGAGGGCAGCACCAGCCAGAGCAGACCCTGACCAACGCATCAGGGAAGGGGGCCGAGCTGTTCGCGAAGCGCCAGTCCAGGATGGAGAAGTACGTAGTGGAGAATCAGAATGTCTCCGGTGGTGGAGGTGGTCAGATGAGGTCTCCGTCTCCAACCGCGTCTCTGCCACCGTCTTGGGTCTACCCATCTAATATGCCTGGCCGGGTCAAAGCTATCGCTAACAACACTGACCTCAGCGCCAGGCTGACCCAGACCCTCCAGACCCCTCAGCCTGGGAACAGGAGGCCCAGCCAGCAGGCTCCAACCCCGGCCCCGGTCCCCGAGGAACCACCCCTGGAGAACGGCTGCACCAAGATAGAGATGGACCTCTCCAGGCACCAGCCCTACCAGCTCAACTCCTCCCTGTTCATCTTCAACCCAGTCCAGGACTCTACCAGCACCCTGCTGAGCGCTCTGCCCCGGGGGGCCCCGCCAACACCCAAACCCCTGGTCTCATCTGAGGCTTACTCCAGGCAGGCCTCCCTGCCCTCCTCCAACCCTCCATCACACAACTACAACAGCCTGCCCCGCTTCAGGCCTACCCAGTCCCCATCACTTCAGCCCCCATCAGGAGGAATTGGAGGTGGGGATTACTATCCTCCACAACACGGGGGGACTCCACAGCTGAGGGACCCCAGGATCACCTCTCCTGTCTCTGCCTTCTCTCCGGAGAGAGTCGCCTCTCCTCGGTCGGGCGTCCAGGCACCCAGACCCACCTTCTCTACCAAGAGGGCAGGGATCGAACCCCAGGTGTGGAGGCCTTCTTTCTTCTTCTACCGATAGATCTACTCTGTTTCTACTCTGCTTTTACTCTGTTCTACTCTTCCTGTTAACACGACCAAAGTACAACAGATAGACAGACAGGAATAGCCTTATTTTAACATATTGCACACACCAGACACTGGATACACACACTAGATTTATTGGATACCTAGATACTACAGGTTTAGACGTCACTGTTGATGTTATTTCACAGTACAAAGCTCAACATAGATTATTTTTCTACACACAAAGCCAAATATTTGGTTGGAGTTCCTTGTGGAATCTTGATTTCATGGTTTGAATTTATGCTGCTTCATTAGTGGTTAAAGAAAACAAGTCTGCTATGCAACTGACAAACACCCTCTGTATGCTATAGATCCAGAGATCAAATCCCAAAAGAACATTATTTAATGTCAGTTAACATTTTAGTCATTTAGCAGACACTCTTATCCAGAGCGACTTACAAGAGCAATTAGGGTTAAGTGCCTTGCTTAAGGGCACATCGACAGATTTTACATCTAGTCGGCTCGGGGATTAGAACCAGCAACCTTTCGGTTACTGGCACAACGCTCTTACCCACTAAGCTACCTGCCGCCCAGTTAACAGAGGAATATTTGCGAAATAGTACCAAAATATAAAAACCAGTAAGTGGAAAAGCCCCATATTCTGTCAGCTCCTAAATAACTTTGGGATGAGAAATCGGTTCACACTTTTTCCAGTGTTTTTCCCATCTAAGTCTCCAGAAAGCCTTGAGAGCGAGAGACACAAAGCGCTTTAACAGATGCTCTGGCGTCTATTTTATGATCTATGATTTGTAATTTAATACAAGCTTACAGACATGAAAGTATCAGGCAGGGAACTCCCTTAATGTCTCTGTCTCTACAGGGGAATATAGACTGACTGATGTTTGAAATGGCACCCTATTCCCTATATAGTACACTACCAGAGCCCATAGGGTGCTGGTCAAAAGTAGTGCACTATATAGGAAATAGGGTGCCAGTTGGGACATAACCCTAGACTTCTGTTTCTCAGTTTCTCTGCCCTTTAGTTCGAGAACTACCACATGATATATACTACTACCACTGTCCTGTGAGCCCTGGCTCTGAGGCCATTGATGTCAGTCATTTACAGACAGCACTGCTGCATGCCATTTGACGTAATGTAACTTCTATGGTTTTTACGACTCGACTGATTTATACGTGAAAATATAACTCTGAGTGTTTTTTTTTTTTAGATTCACAATGTTGATCACTAAACCAGCTAGCTGACAACAAGGACTATGGTTTCTTTGTTCCTCTTTTCTTTTATGCACCGATTTCTGTTTTCCAATTCTGTTTCTGTATCTATAAACTTATCTTTTCTGTTGGACTGTTTATATTTTTCTGTTGGACTGTTTCTGTTTCTCTCCTGATTAAAGCTTCATCCTTTCTTCTTTTGTTTGTTTTTCTACCTTTCCTTCTGTTTCCCCACTCATCTACTTTTATAGTACCTTAAACGTTCTGTTCTTTAGCTGCCCTGACTTTTCTATTGTCATAGTTTAATGAAGCGTATAGTGCATTGAACAAATGTATATCTCTGCAGGAAAACATTTGAAAGCAGTTAATAGACACGGTACAAATGTATATTCCTGAAGGCTAACACCCAGTTTAAAACACAAAGAGCCGGCAGAGTATACAACAGTTGCATACATCAATGCAACACCAACAATCAGCCTTTTTTAAGAAGTAACAGTTTTAAAAGATTCTCCCTGAAGGGAAAGGAAACACCCTGTACAATATGAGTGATTACACTGCATTCCACAACCAGTTTTTTGTGTAGGAAGGGTCTTAGCTTTCTAAAAGCCCCAGAAGGTTAAAAGCATTCAGACAAATGGTCCCATGGCCCCTACCTTCAAAAGGATGGTATGACCCACTGGCCTTTCTCGTCTAGCATGAAAACATTCCAGGCTCAAGGTACAAGTTACCCTTAGCATGACCTAGTGAGATATACAAGACGGAGGCTCAATCAAGTCTTGACTACTTTCTTATGGCATTCTCACTGGAACCTACAGTTTAAAAGGTGTTGATAGGGGACAGAATGCGGTCGGACCATCAAATAATTGGCATATACATTACTCTTACAGAATCTCCACGTGGGCGAGGATATTGGAAATGTAATCAAAGCCTATTGGATGACAACTAGGACAGAATAATTTATAACATTTTACTACACAACATTGGTACAGCAGATCCCTTTATTGTATGGGACGCTTTTAATTGTGCCTTTAGAGGCCAAGCAAATCAATACTTATCTTTAAAACAAAAGCAATTTAGGTCAAAATAATTCATATTAACATAGGAAATAGAGGGACTAACAGTAAAGATAGATAGCAATAAAACTGTACCATAGAGGCACAGAATACGTTAGAGGAAAGAAAATAAAAAAATGTTTATTCAAGAAAGATCAAGTGTAATGGATGGAATATGGGGGAAAATGCACCACATTCTTTTTTAAATCTTCAACATAGAAATGCTACCAAAAAGAATTTACTGAAACTTGTTACAAAATGACGGAGTCACCCATGATTCAGCAAACAATATTTTGAAAGAGGAAGCAAAGTACTTTAAGCCTATGTTTTCGTTTCAGTCTCCTCCGTCTCCACTAACCGAAGTTAATTGTAAGGATTTTTTTTCCTATTAATAATGTAAAATTAACAGCTGTACAGAAAGACTAATGTGAAGGCTAAATTACACAGGAGAAACTACAGTATGTATATATGGCAAGTAGAAATCAAAACTGGATCAAAACTGGATAGTGTTCAGAGATCTATGGGAGGGGTTGAGTGGAGCTGATTATTGTAAAATATACTGTGTCCGTAAAATGTAAATACACTGAACAAAAATATAAATGTAACATGCAACAATTTCAAAGATTTTACTTTTATTTTAGTTACAGTTCATTTAAGGAAATCAATCAATTGAAATCAATTCATTAGGCCCTAATCTACAGATTTCATATGACTGGGTATACAGATATGCATCTGTTGGTCACAGAGACGTTTTTTTTTAAAAGGGTAGGGGCGTGGATCAGAAAACCAGTCAGTGTCTGGTGTGACCACCATTTGCCTCATGCAGTGCGACATCTCCTTCACTTAGAGTTGATAAGGCTGTTGATTGTGGCCTGTGGAATGTTGTCCCACTCCTCTTCAATGGCTGTGCGAAGTTGCTGGATATGGGCAGGAACTGGAACACACTGTCGTACACATCGATCCAGGGCATCCCAAACATGCTTAATGGGTGACATGTCTGGTGAGTATGCAGGCCATGGAAGAACTGGGACATTTTCAGCTTTCAGGAATTGTGTACAGATCCTTGTGACATGGGGCTGTGCATTATCATGCTGAAACATGAGGTGATGGCGGCGGATGAATGGCCTGACAATGGGCCTCAGGATCTTGTCACGGTATCTCTGTGCATTCAAATTGCCATCGATAAAATGCAATTGTGTTCATTGTCCGTAGCTTATGCCTGCCCATATCATAATCCCACCACCACCATGGGGCACTCTGTTCACAACTTTGACATCAACAAACCGCTCGCCCACACCACGCCATACACGCTGTCCGCCACCTGTGTAATGATCATGCTGTTTAATCAGCTTCTTGATATGCCACACCTGTCTGGTGGAAGGATTATCTTGACAAAGGAGAAATGCTCACTAACAGGGATGTAAACAAATTTGTACACAACATTTGAGAAAAATACGCTTTTATTTCAGCTCAGGGAACATGGGACCAACACATTACATGTTGCGTTTGTATTTTTGTTCAGGATAGTATGTATAAGCTGAAAGTAGCAGTCTTAAGTTTTGTTGTCCATTAGTTTACTCTAATTACGGGAGGGGTGGTAGGGTTAGGGGAAAATAATAAAGGAACATATAGTTTGGACACACCTAATCATTCAAGGGTATTTTCTACATTGTAGAATAATAGTTAAGACATCAAAACCATGAAATAACACATATGGAATCATGTAGTACCCAAAAAAGTGTTAAACAAATCAAAATATATTTTATATTCTTCAAAGTAGCCACCCTTTGCCTTGATGTTAGCTTTGATCACTCTTGGCATTCTCTCAACCAGCTTCATGAGGAATGCTTTTCCAACAGTCAAAGAAGGAGTTCCGACATACGCTGAGCACTCGTTGGCTGCTTTTCCTTCACTTTGCGGTCCGACTCATCCCAAACCATCTCAATTGGCTTGAGGTCGGGATATTTTGGAGGCCAGGTCATCTGATGCAGCACTCCATCACTCTCCTTCTTGGTCAAATAGCCCTTACACAGCCTGGAGGTGTGTTCTGGATCATTGTCCTGTTGAAAAGCAAATGATAGTCCCACTAAGCGCAAACCAGATGGGATGGCGTATCGCTGCAGAATGCTGTGGTGGCCATGCTGGTTAAGTGTGCCTTGAATTCTAAATAAATCACAGATAGTGTCACCAGCAAAGCACCCACACACCATCACACCTCCTCCTCCATGCTTCACGGTGGGAACCACACATGAAGAGATCATCCGTTCACCTATTCTGCATCTCACAAAAATCTCAAATTTGGACTAATCAGACCAAAGCACAGGTTTCCACCTGAGGCTGGTAACTCTAATGAACTTATCCTCTGCAGCAAGAGGTAACTCTGGGTCTTCCATTCCTGTGGCGGTCCTCATGAGAGCCAGTTTCATCATAGCGCTTGATATTTTTTGCGACTGCACTTGAAGAAACTTTGAAAGTTCTTGACATTTTCTGGATTGACTGACCTTTATGACTTAAAGTAATGATGGACTGTTGTTTCTATTTGCTTATTTGAGCTGTTCTTGCCATAATATGGACTTGGTCTTTTACGAAATAGGGCTATCTTCTGTGTACCACCCCTACCTTGTCACAACACAACTGATTGGCTCAAACGCATTAATAAGCAAAGAAATTCCACTAATTTACTTTTAACAAGGCACACCTGTTAATTGAAATGCATTCCAGGTGACTACCTCATGAAGCTGGTTGAGAGAATGCCAAGAGTGTGCAAAGCTGTCATCAAGGAAAAGGCTACTGTCACGCCCTGGCTCTGGGACTCTGTTATGTTGAGCAAGGGTGTGTGGTTTCTATGTGTTTTGTGTGCTAGGGTGATTATCTAGTTCATTTGTTTCTATGTTGGCCGGTGTGGTTCTCAATCAGAGGCAACGTGTATCAGCTGTTGCTTGTTGTCTCTGATTGGGAACCATACTTAGGCAGCCTGTTTTCCACAGTGTGTTGTGGGATCTTGTTCCGTGTATGGGTTGTGTCTGTTACTAAGGACTTCACGAATCGTTTTGTTGTTTTGTTCGTTGTGGTGAATTAATAAATAAGTATGTTCACTCATCACGCTGCGCATTGGTCCACTTCCTCCAGCGATCGTGACAGCTACTTTGAAGAATCTCAAATATAACATATATTTTGATTTGTTTAACACTTTTTTTTGGTTACTACATGATTCCATATGTTTTCTTTTTATAGTGTTGATGTCTTCACTATTATTCTACAATGTAGAAAATAGTAAAAATAAAGAAAACACTGGAATGAGTAGGTGTGTCCAAACTTTTGACTGGTACTGTATAGTGTTTATAGTATTTACAAAAAAATATATGTGGGATTGAAAATGATGAAGACAATTACATTGATGGAAGCCACAATCTTTCTGCAATATATACAATACAAATAGTAAATAAATAAAATAAAATAAATAGTTACCCTTAGGGACTAGGTACAGATCCAGGATCAGCCTACTCTTTCCAAATCCTAACCTTCACCATTATGGAATAGAACGCAAACTGTAAAAACTGACCTTAGATCAGTCTATCCTGTCTATACACACCATTCACATACATGCAGTGCATTCGGAAAGTATTCAGAATTCTTCCTTTTTTCCCACATTTTGTTACGTTACGGCCTTATTCTAAAATGGATTAAATAAATAAAAAATCCTCATCAATCTACACACAATACCCCATAATGACGAAGCGAAAACAGGTTTTTAGAAATGTTTGCAAATAAAAATAAATAAAATACCTTATTTACATAAGTATTCAGACCCTTTGCGATTAGACTCGAAATTGAGCTCAGGTGCATCCTGTTTCCATTGATCATCCTTGAGATGTTTCTACAACTTGATTGGAGTCCACCTGTGGTAAATAAAATTCATTGGACATTATTTGGAAAGGCACACACCTGCAAAAGTATTAATCCCCCATGGCGTTTTTCCTATTTTGTTGCATTAGAACCTGTTATTTAAATAGATTTTTATTTGGATTTCATGTAATGCATATACACAAAATAGTCCACATTGGTGAAGTGAAATGAAAAAAATAACTTGTTTGTCACGATCGTCGTTACAGGAAGCGGACCAAAGCGCAGCGTGTTGCACGAACATGATGCTTTATTTAATTAAAGCGAAACACGAAACAACAAAACAAATAACGATTTGTGAAGTCCACAGTGACAATGACTGACTAGGAACAAAAACCCACAAACACAAGGTGAAAACCGACAGTTTAAATATGGCTCCCAATCAGAGACAACGAGCCAACAGCTGACACTCGTTACCTCTGATTGGGAGTCACTCAAACAAAGAAATACAACAACCTAGAACAACCCAACCAAGAAACAGAAACCAAAGAAACGAACACACCCTGGCTCAACATACAGAGTCCCGGAGCCAGAGCGTGACAGTACCCCCCCCTAAAGGCGCGGACTGCGACCGCGCCTTAACAAAACCCAAACAGGGGAGGGCTGGGTGGGCATTCCTCCTCGGAGGTGGCTCCGGCTCCGGGCTTGACCACCACCCTTCCACAATTCCCCCGTAGCGCCCCCGGTCCGGTCTGACCCCGCTGGCTGGATCTGGACCGAACATCGACGGAGCGGATTGCTCAAGCCCCGTTGTGGAGCAGCTGCCCGGTACCTGATCAGGCACCGGACTGACGACGCGCACCCCTGGCTTGGCGCGTGAGGCAGGAACTGACCGGACCTGGCTGACGATGCGAACCCCTGGCTTGGTGCGTGGAGCAGCAACGGACCGGACCGGGCTGACGATACGCACCCCTGGCTTGGTGCGTGGAGCCGGAACGGGCCTCATCGGACTGACGACTCGCATCCTTGGCTTGGTGCGAGTAGCAGGAACGGGCTGGACCAGGCTGACGACTCGTACCCCTGGCTTGGTGCGAGTAGCAGGAACGGGCTGGACCAGGCTGACGACTCGCACCCCTGGCTTGGTGCGAGTAGCAGGAACGGGCCGGGCTGGGCTGGCGACGCACACCGTAGGCTTTGTGCGTGGAGCAGGGACAGGCCGGGCTGGGCTGGCGACGCACCCCGTAAGCTTTGTGCGTGGAGCAGGGACAGGCCGGGCTGGGCTGGCGACGCACCCCGTAGGCTTTGTGCGTGGAGCAGGGACAGGCCGGGCTGGGCTGGCGACACACCCCGTAGGCTTTGTGCGTGGAGCAGGGACAGGCCGGGCTGGGCTGGCGACGCACCCAGTAGGCTTTGTGCGTGGAGCAGGGACAGGCCGGGCTGGCGACGCACCCCGTAGGCTTTGTGCGTGGAGCAGGGACAGACCGGGCTGGGCTGGCGACGCACCCCGTAGGTTTGGTGCGTGGAGCAGGAACAGGCCGGGCTGGGCTGGCGACGCACCCCGTAGGTTTGGTGCGTGGAGCAGGAACAGGCCGGGCAGGGCTGTCGACGCACACCGCAGACTTGGTGCGTGGAGCAGGAACAGGCCGGGCAGGGCTGTCGACGCACACCGTAGGTTTGGTGCGTGGAGCAGGAACAGGCCGGGCAGGGCTGTCGACGCACACCGTAGACTTGGTGCGTGGAGCAGGAACAGGCCGGGCAGGGCTGTCGACGCACACCGTAGACTTGGTGCGTGGAGCAGGAACAGGCCGGGCAGGGCTGTCGACGCACACCGTAGGTTTGGTGCGTGGAGCAGGAACAGGCCGGGCAGGACTGGCGACGCACACCGTAGGCTTGGTGCGAGAGGCAGGAACAGGCCGGACCGGGCTGGAGACGCGCACCGTCCATTTGGTGCGAGGGGCCGTAACAGGCCGGACCGTACTGGGGACACACACCACTGGCTCTACTCCGGGAACTGGAACGGGCCGGACCGGACTGGTAACACACCCCAGTACCTCTCGCCGTGCCTCTAAACCTCCTTTCCCTACTTTGACCAGTGGCCCCCGTAACCTGGTGGCCTTTTGAATACGCCCCTTCTCTGCCTCCGTCAGCCCCGTCGTCCATGCCCTGTGCCCCCCCCTAAAAAATTATTGGGTGTGCCTCTCGTCCGTCCGACGATGGCACTGCTGACGCCGCTGCTCCTCTCTCGCCAGGGCCTTGATCCTACCCCAAGGTCCCTTGCCCCCGAGCATGTCCTCCCAGGACCACACTTTGCCCACCTGGGCCATCGCCAGCCTCTCCATCTCCTTTCCTGGCGCTTCCTCCCATGACCAGGCTGCCTGCTCCTGGACACGCTGCTTGGTCCTTGTACGGTGGGTTTTTCTGTCACGAACGTCTTGGAAAGGAGTAGACCAAAGCGCAGCGTGTTGCACGAACATGATGCTTTATTTAATTAAAGCGAAACACGAAACAACAAAACAAATAATGATTCGTGAAGTCCACAGTGACAATGACTGACTAGGAACAAAAACCCACAAACACAAGGTGAAAACCGACAGTTTAAATATGGCTCCCAATCAGAGACAACGAGCCAACAGCTGACACTCGTTACCTCTGATTGGGAGTCACTCAAACAAAGAAATACAACAACCTAGAACAACCCAACCAAGAAACAGAAACCAAAGAAACGAACACACCCTGGCTCAACATACAGAGTCCCGGAGCCAGAGCGTGACATTGTTTCAAAATTTTATAAAAAATTAATAACGGAAAAGTGGTGCGTGCATATGTATTAACCCCCTTTGCTATGAAGCCCCTAAATAAGATCTGGTGCAACAAATTACCTTCAGAAGTCACATAATTAGTTAAATAAAGTCCATCTGTTTGCAATCTAAGTGTCACATGATCTGTCACATGATCTCAGTATATATATATATATATATATATATATATATATATACTTGAAGGAGCTGGAGCAGTTTTGCTATATACAGTGGGGGAAAAAAGTATTTAGTCAGCCACCAATTGTGCAAGTTCTCCCACTTAAAAAGATGAGAGAGGCCTGTAATTTTCATCATAGGTACACGTCAACTATGACAGACAAAATGAGAAAAAAAAATCCAGAAAATCACATTGTAGGATTTTTAATGAATTTTATTTGCAAATTATGGTGGAAAATAAGTATTTGGTCAATAACAAAAGTTTCTCAATACTTTGTTATATACCCTTTGTTGGCAATGACACAGGTCAAACGTTTTCTGTAAGTCTTCACAAGGTTTTCACACACTGTTGCTGGTATTTTGGCCCATTCCTCCATGCAGATCTCCTCTAGAGCAGTGATGTTTTGGGGCTGTCGCTGGGCAACACAGACTTTCAACTCCCTCCAAAGATTTTCTATGGGATTGAGATCTGGAGACTGGCTAGGCCACTCCAGGACCTTGAAATGCTTCTTACGAAGCCACTCCTTCGTTGCCCGGGCGGTGTGTTTGGGATCATTGTCATGCTGAAAGACCCAGCCACGTTTCATCTTCAATGCCCTTGCTGATGGAAGGAGGTTTTCACTCAAAATCTCACGATACATGGCCCCATTCATTCTTTCCTTTACACGGATCAGTCGTCCTGGTCCCTTTGCAGAAAAACAGCCCCAAAGCATGATGTTTCCACCCCCATGCTTCACAGTAGGTATGGTGTTCTTTATATGCAACTCAGCATTCTTTGTCCTCCAAACACGACGAGTTGAGTTTTTACCAAAAAGTTATATTTTGGTTTCATCTGACCATATGACATTCTCCCAATCCTCTTCTGGATCATCCAAATGCACTCTAGCAAACTTCAGACGGGTTGGGGGGTGAATAGTTATGCACGCTCAAGTTTTCAGGTTTTTTGTTATATTTCTTGCTTGTTTCACAAAATAAATTATATTTTGCTTCTTCAAAGTGTTAGGCATGTTGTGGAAATCAAATGATACAAACCCCCCAAAAATATATTTTAATTCCAGGTTATAAGGCAACAAAATAGGACAAATGGCAAGGGGGGTGAAAACTTTAGCAAGCCACTGTATGGAGAAGACAGGATTGTGTGGAGGAACAGATCTGGGGAAGGGTACCAAAAAATGTCTGCAGCATTGAAGGTCTCCAAGAACACAGTGGCCTCATCATTCATAAATGGAAGAAGTTTGGAACATCAAGACTCTTCCTAGAGCTGGCCGCCCGGCCAAACTGAGCAATCGGGGGGGAAGGGCCTTGGTCAGGGAGGTGACCAAGAACCCGATGGTCACTCTGACAGAGCTCCAGAGTTCCTCTGTGGAGATGGGAGAACCTTCCAGAAGGACAACCATCTCTGCAGCACTCCACCAATTAGGCCTTTATGGCAGAGTGGCCAGATGAAAGCCACTCTTCAGTAAAAGGCACATGACAGCCCACTTGGAGTTTGCCAAAAGGCACCCTAAGGACTCTCAGACCATGAGAAAGCTTCTCTGGTCTGATGAAACCAAGATTTGTCCTGAATGCCAAGCGTCACATCTGGAAGAAACCTGGCACCATCCCAATGGTGAAGCATGGTGGTGGCAGCATCATGCTGTGGGGATGTTTTTCAGCGGCAGGGACCGGGAGACTAGTCAGGATTGAGGGAACGATGAACGGAGCAAAGTACAGAGAGATCCTTGATGAAAACCTGCTCCAGAGCGCTCAGGACCTCAGACTGGGGCGAAGGTGCACCTTCCAACAGGACAACGACCTAAAGCACACAGCCAAGACAACGCAGGAGTGGCTTCGGGACAAGTCTCTGAATGTCCTTGAGTGGCCCAGCCAGAGCCCGGACTTGAACCCGATCGAACATCTCTGGAGAGACCTGAAAATAGCTGTGCAGCGACGCTCCCCATCCAACCTGACAGAGGTTGAGAGGATCTGCAGAGAAGAATGGGAGAAACTCCCCAAATACAGGTGTGCCAAGCTTGTAGCGTCATACCCAAGAAGACTCAAGGCTGTAATCACTGCCAAAGGTGCTTCAACCAAGTACTGAGTAAAGGGTCTGAATACTTATGTAAATGTGATATTTCCATTATTATTATTATTTATTTTTTTGCAAAGGTTTCTACAAACCTGTTGTTGCTTTGTCATTATGGGGCATTGTGTATAGATTGATGAGGAAAAAAATAATTGAATCAATTTTGGAATAAGGCTGTAACGTAACGAAATGTGGAAAAAGTCAAGGGGTCTGAATACGAATGCGCTGTATAGATGTATTTATATTCTGGACTCTGACATTGCTCTTTCTGATATGTCTTAATTTCTTGTTCTTCTTTTTTTAAATGTTTGGATAATGTGTGTATTGTTATTGTGTTGCTAGATATTGCTGCACTGTTGGAGCTAGAGACATAAGCATTTCGCTGCACCTACGATAACATCTTCAAAACTGTGTACGCGACCAATAAACTTTGATTCAATTTTATTTGTATCGGGGGTAACTTCAGAGTGACACTGGTTCAATAATAATAAAGCTCCCCAATAGCCTCGGCAGGGTAACAGCAAATCCTGAAAACTTTTGCTCAAGGTACATGTTGTCCTTAGGGCCTGATAGGCACAGATATAGGATTAGCCTGGCCAAGCCAAATACTAAATGGAACCAGTAGGGGGTGAAAAGCACAAAACTGACCTCAGATCAGTGTCGTACTCTGAATCTGATCAACACTAGTTCAAGGTGAAAAGAAAGCTCGCCAGGATTCTTTGCCGGGTATCAGCAAAGCCTGTATCAAGAGCTTAACATTATAAGAAACTCTCTTGTAACAGCAGACCTACCAAGCTCTTCAGGAGTCTAGGGAACAGCAGACCTACCAAGCTCTTCAGGAGTCTAGGGAACAGCAGACCTACCAAGCTCTTCAGGAGTCTAGGGAACAGCAGACCTACCAAGCTCTTCAGGAGCCTAGGGAACAGCAGACCTACCAAGCTCTTCAGGAGTCTAGGGAACAGCAGACCTACCAAGCTCTTCAGGAGTCTAGGGAACAGCAGACCTACCAAGCTCTTCAGGAGTCTAGGGAACAGCGGACCTACCAAGCTCTTCAGGAGTCTAGGGAACAGCAGACCTACCAAGCTCTTCAGGAGTCTAGGGAACAGCGGACCTACCAAGCTCTTCAGGAGTCTAGGGAACAGCAGACCTACCAAGCTCTTCAGGAGTCTAGGGAACAGCAGACCTACCAAGCTCTTCAGGAGTCTAGGGAACAGCAGACCTACCAAGCTCTTCAGGAGCCTAGGGAACAGTGGATCTACCAAGCTCTTCAGGAGTCTAGGGAACAGCAGACCTACCAAGCTCTTCAGGAGTCTAGGGAACAGCAGACCTACCAAGCTCTTCAGGAGTCTAGGGAACAGCAGACCTACCAAGCTCTTCAGGAGTCTAGGGAACAGCAGACCTACCAAGCTCTTCAGGAGTCTAGGGAACAGCAGACCTACCAAGCTCTTCAGGAGTCTAGGGAACAGCAGATCCACAGTGCCAAGCTCTTCAGAAGCCTAGGGAACAGCAGACCTACCAAGCTCTTCAGGAGTCTAGGGAACAGCAGACCTACCAAGCTCTTCAGGAGTCTAGGGAACAGTGGATCTACCAAGCTCTTCAGGAGCCTAGGGAACAGCAGATCCCCATAAAGGTTAGTCACCTCAGCTGGGCCAAACGGCGGTAACGTGAGAGGGACACTACAGACCAGGTGTCCTGTTTGGTTGCAGGGGCTCACAGACACACACAGATGGGAGCTGATAGTCGGGGGGTTGCTATGCAGTCTGTTTCAGCCCAAGTTGTCGTTGTCTTGTCAAGGAAACCGTGTAGCATTGTTGAAAACAGTAGCCAAGTTTTATGAGATGAACGAATAGAGCTAAATTCCTCTGTAGCTCGTGATCAATATATAAGAACATTTTTAAATGGAGAGTTCGCTCTCTTTTCCTTCTGTACACCACGTGTGTATACCGAATGTTGCAGTGTGTGCAAGGAGCTCTTGTGAATGACTTCTCTCATGAAATGTGTTTCACCAAGCTGCACAACACCATGTATACGTATAACTGCTTTAATGTTGCTGGACCCCTGCCTTGGCAGCAGCTAATGGGGATCCTTAATAAATACACACAAAAAATACAAAAATACCTTCATTACAACAACGTTCTGAGGTCATTCTGTAGCCTATACTCTAAGTACCAGCTGTGCTGTCTGTTGTATATTTCACTTCATACAGCACTGTCAATCAAAAAACATATCTTCCCTCATTTAACATTATCATGGTGTCTTAAATTCATGTCTCTTTACTCTAGTTTAACGTTATCATGGTGTCTTCAAATCAAATCTTCTTTTTTTTTGTCACATGCTTCGTAGACCACAGGTGTACAATAACAGTGAAATGCTTACAGGTCCTTTTCCAACAATGCAGAGTTAAAGATAAGTCAAAATAACATGGGTATATACAGGGAGTAGAAAATAACATGGCTATATACAGGGAGTACCAGTACCAAGTCGATGTGCAGGAGTACGAGGTAAATGAGGTTGCTATGTACTGTACATATAGGTAGGGGTAAAGTGAGTCCAGTGTGTTTGCATAGAGTCAGTGCCAGAGAGTTAGTGCAAAAAAGGTTAAATGCAGGTAGTACGGGTAGCCATTAGATTAGCTATTTAGCAGTCTTGTTTAGAAGTCTTACGGCATGGAGGTAGAAGCTGTTCAGGGTCCTGTTGGTTCCAGACTTGGTGCATTGGTACCGCTTGCCGTGCGGTAGCAGAGAGAACAGTCTGTGGCTTGGGTTGCTGGAGTCTTTGACCATTTTTTGGGCCTTCCTCTGACACCGCCTGGTATAGAGGTCCTGGATGGCAGGGAGCTCAGCCCCAGTGATGTACTGGGTCGTACGCACACTACCCTCTGTAGCACCTTGCGGTCAGATGCCAAGCATTTGCCATACCAAGCGGTGATGAAGCCAGTCAAGATGCTCTCGATGGTGCAGCTGTATAATTTTTTGCGGAGGTCTCTGCCAAATCTTTTCAGCCTCATGAGGGGGAAGAGGCATTGTCGTGCCCTCTTCAAGACTGTGTTGGTGTGTTTCTCGACCCGTTCCACTGCAGCCTCGTGGATGTGAATGGGGGCGTGCCTGCTCCCCCCCGTTTACTGTAGTCCACAATCAGCTCCTTTGTCTTACTGACGTTGATGGAGAGGATGTTTGCCTGGCATCACACTGCCAGGTCTCTGACCTCCTCCCTATAGGCTGTCTCATCGTTGTCGGTGATCAGGCCTACCACCATCGTGTCGCATGAAAACGTAATGATGGTGTTGGAGTCGTGCGCGGCCACACAGTTGTGGGTGAACAGGGAGGACAGGACGGGACTAAGCACGCACCCCTGAGGGGCCCCGTGTTGAGGGCCAGTGTGGCGGCTGTGTTGTTGCCTACCCTCACCACTTGGAGGCGACCCGACAGGAAGTCCAGGATCCAGTTGCAGAGGGTGGTGTTCAGTCCCAGGGACCTTAGTTTAGTGATGAGCTTCGAGGGCACTATGGTGTTGAATGCTGAGCTGTAGTCAATGAACAGCATTCTCACGTAAGTGTTCCTTTTGTCCAAGTGGGAAAGGGCAGTGTGGAGTGCAATAGAGATTGCGTCATCTGTGGATCTGTTGGGGCGGTATGCAAATTGGAGTGGGTCCAGGGTGTCTGGGATGATGGTGTTGATGTGAGCCATGACCAGCCTTTCAAAGCATTTCATGGCTACAGATGTGAGTACTACGGGGCGATAGTCATTTAGACAGGTTACCTTGGCGTTCTTGGGCACAGGGACTATGGTGGTCTGCTGGAAACATGTAGGTATTACAGACTGGGTCAGGGAGAGGTTGAAAATGTTAGTGAAGACACTTACACTTGCCAGCTGGTCAGCTCATGCTCTGAATACAGGTCCTGGTAATCCATATGGCCCTGTGGCCTTGTGAATGTTAAACTGTTTAAAGGTCTTACTCACACAGTCGTCCGGAACAACTGGTGCTCTCATGCATGGTTCAGTGTTGCTTGCCTCGAAGCGAGCGTAGAAGGCATTTCGCTCGTCTTACATTCATGTCTCTTTTCCCTAGTTTAACATTATCATGGTGTCTTACATTAATGTCTCTATACCCTAGTTTAACATCATCATGGTGTCTTACATTAATGTCTCTATACCCTAGTTTAACATCATCATGGTGTCTTACATTAATGTCTCTATACCCTAGTTTAACATCATCATGGTGTCTTACATTAATGTCTCTATACCCTAGTTTAACATCATCATGGTGTCTTACATTAATGTCTCTATACCCTAGTTTAACATCATCATGGTGTCTTACATTAATGTCTCTATACCCTAGTTTAACATCATCATGGTGTCTTACATTAATGTCTCTATACCCTAGTTTAACATCATCATGGTGTCTTACATTAATGTCTCTATACCCTAGTTTAACATCATCATGGTGTCTTACATTAATGTCTCTATACTTTTACATGTGTTTTATTTTTATTTTACTCTTTACTCTCCACAGATGAGGAAGGAGTCCCCTCGAACCCCGACCCCCACCACCACCCCCACGACCACCCCCTCTCCCACCAGGACACCGCAGTTCCCCCGTCGGTTCAGCAGCCCAGAGGGACCCCCCACCCACAGTGGGGTCTGGTCCACCAACCCCCAGACCACCATCACCCCCTCCTCCTCCTCTTCCAGGCCCCTCCACCAGGCGACAGCCACCTCCACAGCCACCTCCCCTGTCTCCCCACCCTGGGAGACGAGGTGCAAGTCCCCCGCCGTGGTCAACCAGACCACCAAACCCTTCTCCACAGCCTCTTTATCCAGGCCTAAACCCTCCACTGCCACCTCACCTATATCGCCTAGATCTCCCTGGGGGTCCCGCTGTCAATCCCCTAACATCAACCAGACAACCAAGCCTTTCTCCACCACCATCTCCAACTCTTCCTCCTCCAGACCCTCTCACCCAGGCACCATCACGTCTCCTCTCTCCCCCTCACCCCTGTCCCCTCCCTGGGGTTCCAGATGCCAGTCTCCCATCGTCAGCCCCAGCCCCAGCCCCAGCCCCAGCCACTCCAAGGCAAACCACCGCCTGTTAGCCAAGAACATCATCAATGCGGCCAAACGTAAAAACAGCCCGTCCCCAGGTGCTCTGAGCGGCCACAATCTCCCAATCTCCCCACTAGGTGGCAACCCGACCCACCAGCATCACCAGGGCTACGACTCCCAGCACCACCACAGCAGCAGCAGCTCCAAACCCCCCTTCAGCCCCTACCAGTCCAGGGCCATGGGGTGCCAGTCTCCCCCCTTCGCCAGCCCTCCTCCCACCCCTACAGGGGTGATCCGGTCCCCAGTAAGGCTCTACAACACCAGGTCCCTCACTGACTCGGATGCTTCGGTGGAGTCGGAGGACTCTGGGCTGAGGTCTCCAGGACTGCAGCGTACCCACAACACCTGTCCCCGGGGCTGGGGCGGCAGCCTGAGGGTGAAGAGGGGCAGTGTTGGCACCGACCTATAGGGGGAGCCTGGGAGAGAGGGTCAGGAGAAAGGACCATTGAGCTTGCCCAATAAGAGAGAAAAAGAAAACAGACAGAACATTGATAAAGGGACTGGTGGGTTTTGGGCAATTCTTCAATTCATTGACGTATAGGATCATCTAAGATGGAGGGCCAGCTCAGCGCTTGCCCCACAGGTGAGATATGGAAAGGACTTTGAAAGGAACTGACCTTGTGTGTTTGTTGCTTTGGAGCATCCAGGAGTAAGGGACAATAATGTTTGACCACAGAGTAAATAACCTGCTGCCCTTATGTTGACCACAGAGTAAATAACCTGCAGCTGGGACGTAGAAGCAACCCGTCTGGTGATTCTAAAGTCCACTAAAACCCACTGATTTGGCTGGCTGGCTATAGAAGAGTCCAGGACCATCAAGCTCAGAGCAAGCTCAACAGTGGGATTACTGAGAGGAGATTGAAGGGACAATTCACTGTTTCCTCTGCCTCTCATTCTTACATCTTATAAAATACTTTGTACATTTATTACACAGAAATATGTAAGGGTTTCTAAAATCCAAAGCGACTTGTCTGCAACTTTAGATTTGGTCCTAATTGAAAAACAAAATGTGTTGTTGTATTCAGGAATTGCTGAAATGTAAAACTAGCTTACTTGCATTTGACTACGACAAAATGTCCATGAATAATCTTAATTATTACAGTAGCTTACTTAAGTTTACTCTAATTTGTACCCAAAAAAAGTCCAAGGGCTAGAAAGAAATACCAAAGACAATATATGGAATGATGCAATGTTTTCAAAAACAGTGTTACACTTTTTCTCCCCCACATAAGGCATTGATAATGTGATGTCGTAGATAGGCTTTTGCAGTTATTTTGGATATATGTTTAAATGTTGCTGGGTATACATTGGAGTAGAAAGGAATGCAGTTAAACAATAGGTTGACATGATGTTTTGCAGGTCTGACACAGGTCAAACTGGGGAGAGAGAAAGAGAGAGAGAGAGAGAGAGAGAGAGAGAGAGAGAGAGAGAGAGAGAGAGAGAGAGAGAGAGAGAGAGAGAGAGACCGTATTCTAAATGCCACCCTGTTCCCTATATAGTGCACTACCATTGACCCGAGCCTTATGGAACCTGGTCAAAAGTAGTGCACTAAATAGGGAATAGGGTGTCATTTGGGACGCAAACAAGAGTATTGATGGATCAGTTTCAGGACCGTAGTAGCAGTGGTGGCTACGGGGAGGCAGGTATAGGAGTTTGTAAATATAATATTATAGCTTACTGGACTACGCTTTCATCAACAAATCCCTTCGAAAGTTGACGTGATAGTTATTCGATTATGAAAACAAAGATGGGCTCTTCACTCTGAATGAGCATGTTATGATAGAATGGGTACAGTCAGAGCCATATATTTACACTGACATTGTATAGATATGGCTCTGGTTACAGTGTAGTTTCTCTACCATAAAAAATTAATAAACACCCATTTATTTTACCTTTATTTAACTAGGCAAGTCAGTTAAGAACAAATTCTTATTTACAATGACGGCCTACACCGGCCAAACCCGGACGACGCTGGGCCAATTGTGCGCCGCCCTATGGGACTCCCAATCACGGCCAGTTGTGATACAGCCTGGAATCGAACCAGGGGGGGGTCTGTAGTGACGCCTCAAGCACTGAGATGCAGTGCCTTAGACCGCTGCGCCACTCGGGAGCCCATTCCATAACCTTACTATGCAAAGGATCAAGGAACGTTGGCGTTATTGTGGTATTGATGACATCACAAATGGCCAAAAACATACACTACAGCACAGTATATCCTTTTTATTGAACAGGAAAAAAAATACAAAGCTTCTTATGCAGTCTTTACCTATCGCAGTGCAATAATGCATCTATCACCTCTATGTACTGTATATACAGTTACTGTATGTTGTTTTATGTACTGCTTTGTTTCAAATGAATGTACAGATTGGCAGGTAGAGAGGTAGAAGAGAGAGACAGAGACAGAGTGTTGACTTTTGAGAAGGTTTTTGTAGGTTTATATGTTAACCAATGGGACACAATGTTACCGTTTCTAATACTGATATGTCGACTGTCCGGCACCAACAACAAACTAACAATGGCTGGGGACATCAAAATGACAACAAATACAGCATGTAGAAACCAAGGGTTGTTGTCACTAATGTTGTAGTGACAAACATCTGTGTGTACCACAGCGATGACGATCAAGGCAGCCATTAGGAAAGATTCATAAAAAGAGGCATTCCACAAGAGATGGTTGAGAGAATGTTGCAGTCAGACGTTAGGTTGGGATCGAGGTTGGGATCGAGGTTGGGATCGAGGTTGGGATCGAGGTTGGGATCGAGGTTGGGATCGGACGATCGGAGTAGGTTTGTTAAATGACCAAACTATTGCTGAAGCAAGGCCTGTATTCTGCAAACAATACTCTAAATGCACATGCACATTTCAGTTTGCTTTAGATTTTGTACTTTATTTTATCAAGTTTCACTTGATTTTGCACTTCTTTGATTCATTCCATATTCCTATGGCTCACAGTATTGGACTGACTTTGATTGGCTGAAACAGGTGTCATTCACACAGAAAACCTCACGCTTCTCCATAATCGGCATAGTAACAGTAAGACCGCCGCCACACACTAAAACGCAACACACTATAATAGCCTTTTTATGTTATACAGTAAAAACAATTATCAGTAAATGTAACCGTTGCACTTCAACCCTCTGGAGGCGTTGTATTTCAAGGCAGGGGGTCACCAAGGCCACCGACATCATTCCAACATCTCTCCCTCCGCCCCGTAGCGGATCACATGGAGGATCACAAACAGAACAGGACCACAGGAGTGGGTCTATCCTTGTCCCCTAACACGTATGGCTCTATGGGACTGCTGCATCAGCAGATTACTGACTAGTCACATGTGGGCTGTATTCATTAGACGCCAAAGGGAAAGAAAAGGGACTGAAACAGGAAGGGACTACCTGAGCTTGTCCAATAAGGATTTATTTTCCATTGCACAGCAATTTGCTACAGTGTGCCCTAATGAATAAGACCCTGATGTGTTGAATCTCTGACTGACAGGGACACCTGGTATTACGGTGACTTGGCACATTGGGTAAGCAGGAATAACCTTCTCACTGTCACGGCTGCGTCTTAAATAGCACCCTATTCACTATGAGTAAACACATTTAGCTGGTTGGTTTTCCTTGTGACAGCGAGGGTTGTTGTCAGAACATTCACAACAAGAAAGGATGAAATGCAACACGTCCAAATGGGAAAAATCAACGCTATATCAACAACACAATAATAGAAATAGGGTGGCATTTCAGATGCAGCCACTGTGGCTTTGTTTCAGCCTTGAGTAAACCCCCCCTCCCCTGTGAGACCCCCTCCCCCCTGCCAATCAACACAGGACGGCTATGTCCCAATCCCAAGTGTTGATTGTAATTAGTTCTTAATAGAATGTATTTTACCAAGAAGGGGAGATTTCTTAGTTTGGGACACAGCCTATATTTGGTTCCGCTTTCGCTTGAAAAAAAACGATACATTTTATTGGTAATACGACTAACAACCAATGATTTTGTGTATCAACAATATGTCTCATGTACCCCTCCTGCATTCTGTGTTATTTAAATAACTGAACACAAAAAAACGAAATAAAAGCGATGACAGTAATTATGTCAATGTTGTGTCTGTGGTCTCTGTCTCTTTCCAATTCAGGTCACAATACACTTCAGTTACATTACAGCTGTAAGAAGGCTATGTAGATGTTGTAGAGGCTAATATTGGATATTACAACTGTAAGAAGGCTATGTAGATGTTGTAGAGGCTAATCTGGGATATTACAACTGTAAGAAGGCTATGTAGATGTTGTAGAGGCTATTCTGGAATATTACGTAAGAGATAATCAACGTGCATTCTATGGAAAATAATGAATGACGTGGAAGGTATGTTCCGCGACACGTTAGATGTCGTAGAGGCTAATCTGGGATATTACAACTGTAAGAAGGCTATGTAGATGTCGTAGAGGCTAATCTGGGATATTACAACTATAAGAAGGCTATGTAGATGTTGTAGAGGCTAATATTGGATATTACAACTGTAAGAAGGCTATGTAGATGTCGTAGAGGCTAATCTGGGATATTACAACTGTAAGAAGGCTATGTAGATGTCGTAGAGGCTAATCTGGGATATTACAACTGTAAGAAGGCTATGTAGATGTTGTAGAGGCTAATCTGGGATATTACAACTGTAAGAAGGCTATGTAGATGTCGTAGAGGCTAATCTGGGATATTACAACTGTAAGAAGGCTATGTAGATGTCGTAGAGGCTAATCTGGGATATTACAACTGTAAGAAGGCTATGTAGATGTCGTAGAGGCTAATCTGGGATATTACAACTATAAGAAGGCTATGTAGATGTCGTAGAGGCTAATATTGGATATTACAACTGTAAGAAGGCTATGTAGATGTTGTAGAGGCTATTCTGGAATATTACGTAAGAGATAATCAACGTGCATTCTATGGAAAATAATGAATGACGTGGAAGGTATGTTCCGCGACACGTTAGCGGAGGGCCTACGTAGATGTTGTAAAGGCTAATCTTGGATATTACAACAGGAAGAAGACTGTAGATTTTGTACAGGCTAATCTTGGAATACCTACATTCATGGTGTTCTGTCATGACACATTATGCTAGTTAGCGTGCCATGGTTCTTATCCATGGCTCGTATCCATGGTCGTATCCATGGCTCGTATCCATGGTTCGTATCCATGGCTCGTATCCATGGTGGTGGTCTTTGGTAGTGTATGATAGAGGAAAAAGGACTATAACCACATACTAACTCAGAATCATTTAGTGCAGCACAGCAGCAGCCACCAAGAGAAAATCAATACAGATAGCAGCTAACAAGCAAACACAGTCTGTCAGGCAGACCTCTGGGCTTCTGAGCCCATTCAGCTATCTCACTGGTGTCTGTAAGAGATACTCTGGCTGCAT